AACATGGTCAAAAACTGAGGACCATCTCCATGTGATGTTTATGATAAGTTGTATTTGGACCCTTACCTCTTAAGATAACGTATCACAAACAAGAGAATTCAATTATAAATAGTTGAATCAGAGACAGAAATAAAAATCCTAACTTGCAGTCTGTGGTGACAGCACTAGGCATGCAGCCTAAATCCTCAGGCTTAAGAACCCCCCACCCATCTACACTGCCCTACAAATATTAGAGGTGGTAGTGACAGTTTGTATTTTGTTTAGTATGAATATATTTATGAATGAATAATTAAATTAGTGAAAAACTATATGAAAAGACTGTACAGTCCCCACAGTGAGCCTGTCAGATAGGACCACAGACACCTGAACACATTCTGCAGACCTGCCAACTCTACCTACAACTTTGAAAAGAAACCTGGCCTCAAGAACAAAGTGTGCAGAGCAAGCTATGGGGAACCATGAAAGACCTGCTGCTGACGTGAGTTCATAGAGGCAACCCTCACTGATGGTCTGACCTGAGCATAGAAACCAAATGCAAAAGAAAAAGAAGGTGAAGAATATGGAATCTAGGAGATGTGGCTTCGTAGAAGAATTACAGCACTGTGATGGTGAAGAGCTTGAGACAGTAGACCATTCTACCTATCTGGGCTCCACAGTGAATAGTAAACTATCGCTGGACCATGAAAGTTTGACAAGCTTTTTGACAAAGCGAGTTTGAGGTTTGAGAGAACAGAAAGCTTACAATTAAAACAAAAACTCTTGTCTATCAGGCTTGTGTTCTCAGCACTCTGCTTTATGGCAGTCAAACTTGGTCAACCTATTTGCACTAGGAGAGACAGCTTAATAGCTTTCACATGCGATGCCTAAGAAAAATACTTGGCATTATAAGTGGCAGGACAAAGTCACAAACGCTGAGGTACTGGAAAGAGCAGAAACTACAACTGTCTTTTCCATGCTCAGTCTACGAAGGCTCAGGTGGCTGGGTCAAACCTGGAGGATGGCAGAGTCCCTAAGGACATCATTTATGGTGAATTAAAGACAGGAAGATGTCGAGGCCGACCTCTACTACGGTATAAAGATGCGTGCAAGCGGGACATGAATAATACAGGTATTGAGGTGGACTCATGGGAACAAAATGCCATGGACCGTGTTGCGTGGAAAGGGCATATCAGGAAGGGAATGAGAGTGAAGGAAGAAATGACTGCAGAAAGGATGAGAGCTGAGCATCTGAAAAGAAACGGATTAAACACAAATGTTGACAACAATGGTCCTGAAATCAAATGCTACCATTGTAGAAGACTTTTCTGGACACTGGCGGGTCTTGCTAGTGACACTCACTATGGGCCGTGAGTCTCATGCCTCCTCATAAGGCAGTAAAACACTATCGTCTGGAAGGACAGAAAAGGGCCATCAATCAATAGCACTGTGGATACAAAGGTACATTCTACGGCTTCCTTATACATTTACTTTGCATTATCGAACTTTCAAGATGTTTTGGTAAAAGTAAATAAAGAGTAAAGATCCCTTTACACGCCCTTAGGCGCACTGGGCATATGGGAAGAGCACCCATATTTTTACAGACCAGTCGGCACCGGTGGGTAATGTGGTCCGCATTACGCCCGCCGTCTTTACTTTCCCAGGACAGCCCACCCTGGTACCCATTTGAAACTGGATCGACCTGCGACGTCCCACACCACGATAAAAATCCACACAGCCCGCAGTGGGTTTCGATCGCGGTACGTTGGATTACTCGCAACGCCTTAGCCACGGACGCCGCAAGATGTTTTGGGGACTTGCATATTTTTTACTAGTTTTAAGAAGGATCGCGGCAAAGAACGGTTTGAGTGATGTCCAGTAGCAGAGAGGAACAGAACATTATGGGGCAAAGTGCCTGCAGTGAAGTTGAAGCCTCGACTAACAGCTCTCCACAGTAACCTCACAAGCTTGTTTGTTTCCTCTTACACCTGCATTTACAGCCCGTGAACGCAATGAAGTATAAGAATATGCTCAAGAAAAAAGATTGGTTCGGCTCGAAGACAGTGAGTGGATTCTCTGAGGGTATCGTAGCTGACAACATTTTTCACTTTTGTGCCAAGATATGCTGGTATAAAATGCCCAAAGAACCTGTTGACGATAAAATGAGATGAATTCAAGAAAGCGCAGAAATATTTGAATAATCACTAGTGTCAAGCGTTATAAAACAAAGAAGATAGCAATATGTTGAACATATTCTGAGGAGAAGGTAACAGGGAATTACAGAACAGGCATCACAATGGGAAACAAATGTAATGAGGAGGCTAAAGGAACTCAACTAGTTTCCATCATGTACTTTCATACTCAAGGAGTCACTTTTATCATGTGCCGATCTTCGTGTTAGTTGGCCCCTGTCCCTCCTTCCTGGTACCATGTCTTCTGCTATAAATTTTTCAATACGTCGTGGCGCTTGATATGACCAAAATATTTCAGCTTCCGAGACAGGATGCTGTTTATTAGCCAATCTTCCTTGATGTTCAGATCTTGCAAGTTGTCAGTATTTCTCCTATTCTTTGTCCACATGGTGAAAGTTAAGCTGTTTCACATTGCTCAAATATTCTTGCTTGTGCACTTTTATGTTTTCCTGTCGTGCTGGCTGCATTATGATAGCCCAGTGCACAACAATCCGACTCTGGTATTTGGTGTTCTTTCAATTTTCTACTATAATATGTGCATGTCATATCCTATTGTATGGCTTTTGTCAACAAACTGTAAAAATCTGTCGACAATTTCACACTCGTTTTATATGGTACCAAATAACGCAAAAGAAGTGTGGAATTAACAATAACAGCAAAATACCTTGCAGTTTTCCTGTCCTCTATCATATATTGCTTTACAACTGAGAAACATTCAGCAGTTAACTCGTATTGTTAATCGGCACTGAGATCATGTGACTAAAGTTGTTCTCCCTTTTCTTGTGACTCTTGAACTTGCAGCACATGTTCGTTTACAATTGGATCCCACTGAGACAACTCTTTGACACCTTGAAAATTTATATTGTCTCTTTTACCAGTGAGTTGGGAACAGCCTCAGAAAGGAAGCTTCCGTTCACCAAGGAGTAGTGCAACATTTGTGATTCGTTTCATATTGTTTTACCACTGTACAGATTTTGTTTCGATTACTGCCTCCACCAGATTGTCAGTGCTTATAACTCTGTGATACGTAGATGGCAGGTGTCTTTCTAGTTAACGCCAGGCCAGATAGCACTGATTGTGACTTGCTCCTCTCATGGTCTGGGATGCGAACACATAATTTTCGCTACTTTTTAGCACTGGCCATGCCCCTTCCCTTTCTTTTGGATACAAGCACAGACTAAGATGCTGAGTTAATGCTGCAACAAATTGTGTTATAAAATAAAACACAAGGAAAACAAAATAATGCTTGCTTAGCTTCCCTCAACAGAAGTCAATCTCGGTCATGTTTTTCACCATTCTTCTTCTTCATGTGTCTTACTGATATCAGGTTGTAGCTCAGTGTCTTGTTTTTCTGTATTTCTCTTAGGCTTCTTGTGTGATGGATTTGTTCATCCTTTTGCAAATTTTTGCTACACCATTTATCCATGTCTTTCATGATCTTCCTCTTGCCTCCATTCCAGATGTTCTGCTGTAAAAAGTCTCATATGCTGCATTTTCACTAGGTGGCTGATTTTTTACAATTTAAGCTTCGAAGTGTTAGAAAACATTCCCCCTTACTAAGAATTAACTATCCTAAAACAAAAATGTAACCGCTGGATTATACAGAATTGAATGCCCTTTAATGAATGATTACAAAAATCAATTTTCCCCTTCATTGGCCCCCTTGATCTTCTGGGCCCCGTAACAGTGTACCGGCTGCACCACCCTCTCCTTAAGCCTGAAAATTGGTCAAGGGTCGGGATAAAACAGCCATGCACTGGGAAAACGCACAAGAAAATATTTAACGAAATATTCAATTTAATCTTCTTCTTTGTTCATCAGGTGTAAGCTTCGGTGGAAAGTTCTGGTTGTTCGTCCATCGGGACTTTGGCAACGTGCCAGGGTCCGAGTTTTGAGTGTACATCCGTTTGACTGGCTTATTTATGTGCACTTGGGTGTTCCTTTTTGGGCAGTTGCAGTCGGACTTCCAAGGAAGAACTCCAGTTAGCCGACCCTTACAACATGCATGTTAGGAAAGTAGGCCTATTCTTGTTTTTCCTGGAACCCCACACAGGGAAGATAAAACTGACTGATAGGAATTTATTGCTTCAATGCCTTAGCATTGTTTGATACGAGAACAGTATCTGGAGTAAGAACAATAAGTTTTCAGACTTTACCAACAATCATCGTCATCGTCATCAGTTTTTGAGGAAACAAATAGAAAAATCGTCACGTTCAGCCAGAATCCCCCAAGGGGGAGCAGCTTATAATCACGACAATGTTATGTGCGCCGCATAAAATAGCTTATCACTGCACCCCATCAAATAAGCTCTGAAAAATACTCCTGCAGTGTTGATGCGATCAAAGGAGACTTACCCGACCGGCGACGAAGTCGTCTACCTGCGAGCCTATGAACAAATAAATTGGAACAACTAAATACAGCAGAAAATGCATTAATCAGCACTCATCTGTATATGTTAGTTGCGTATCCTTTACAGGACGTTGCAGAACCAACCCCAGCACTTTCTAGCTGTTGTGGGTTTTTCAGGCAAATTTACGTCCAGTAGTTTGCCATTGCGAAACCAACGCAAAGCGCATGGCCCGCAGCTGGGATCGAACCCGGCACCCCGGCATTACGAAGCGTTTGCATCTACTTAGCCACAGAGCCGACACCAGCACTCATACGGGAACTAAATACAGCAACTGATGCATTAATTTAAAAATAGACGCCGGGAATTCCCACTTGGCCACAAATGGAATCGACAACACTCGTCAGATCCTCGGGCCGTGGATGCAACGTTTCGTCAGATTGTGTTCTGTTGTAGTTGTAGTAGTTGTGATATACTTGTCAGGATGGCGGCAAACCTCGTTGGCATGGCGTTTATTCCATATTATGACAATTTAATGAATATACTGAAGACAAACCCAGAGCTCCATAAAACCGCGAAAGGTATGCTTTGCTTTGTCTTTTTTCATGCTATGAATGATCATTTTAGATAGGGTTTAAATCTATGGATCAAAGAAGAGTGATTGAACGACAACTTACTTAGTAATAAAATTCAAATATGTTATTTTAGAACAAGTACAGAAATTTAAGTATCTAGGTACATGGATCACACCTGATGAAAGATATATTACACAAATAATCATAATGAACAGAAAAGGGCAGGCCGTAACTGTATTTTATAAAATGAAAAACATTGTAATGCAACAAATCCATGTCATTGGAAATGGGGGAAAAGAATTCTTGCATCTTATATGGAACCACTTTTAACATGTGAATCCTGGACAATTATTAAACAAGCATAACACTATCTTGAGGCCTCAGAGATGTTGTTTTACAGAAAAATCCTAGGAATTTCTTGAGCAGCCAGGTTGCCAAGAAGAGCAACCCAGATATTTTGAAAGAGGTGAGGGCTTAAAGTCAATATATCACAAACATCAGAAAAAGAATGATAATTTTTTTTTTTGGGGGGGGGGGGGGGGGAGGAGAAACATGTTGTGATCTGTGGAAAGACCTGTGGAAAGAGAGACAGATGAAGTCAGTGCAAGAAGATTCTGTTGTCATGAGATGAGGGGGTGTCAACACATGAACTGATACATGCAGTTGCAAATCGCAGATTGTGATGAGGTATGATCACCTATACCAGTCGGCAGGGCACTTGATGATGATGTCCCTTTTTGAGTATATGCTGCCTAACTGTTTGAGACTGCAGGTGACAATTTGATATTTTTATTTTGCAGGGATGTTCAAGCAGGTAGCTTGGGGTGCTGCAGGGACTATTGCAGGAGCTACAGTTGGGGGTCCATTTGGGGCCATGATTGGAGGAATCGCAGGTTAGTGACAGTTGCATTTTTCAAAATTAAATCTTCCAGTGAAGCATAAGCCCTCAGCCAGCGTACGGAAGCCCTCTTATTCTTTTCTATGCCATGTAATAAAATATAAGACCCTTGTTAAGCCAGTCGTTCATTGGGCATCCGATGCTAATAATTTTTGTCTCTAGATCTTCTACTTGTGTTTTTATGTCTCCCTCTGTTTATTTTTTTCTTGTGGAGTCCAGAAGTAGGACTTTCTAGTTAAATTATTAATTGATGAAGCCATGTGCCTCACACTCTGAATGTCATGGGTTCATTTCATTAATGCATCATTCGGTTCACAAGTGCCGTTGTTATGGAAATCCCTGGGGATTATTGCTAGAGCTACGGAGCTCATGCTTTGTGTGACGATCTCGGCAGGTGGCTAGCCATTATATGGAATAACCCAGGACAATGAAGTCAATCCCCGCTTCTTGAACATGGTTCATAATTAGTGGATTTTGCAGCTTGTTTTTCAACATGATGAGGTAGCAACTTTCCACCAACCCTTTTCAATCACCCCTTCGTAACATACATCTTCTTATTTTTCTTCAACATTCCGAGCCCTTGATGTTCATTGCTGCAGATATCACCCAACTCCATTAATCTGTGATGGGCTTTCTCTTTCCTATTAGTGATTCCAGATATTTATAGATCTGCCTGTATATTATCCTTTCACCGTCTTCTTGTTCTGCTGCCATTCAACTCTTTTGTGTTCACTGTTTTTGTCTGTTATTTCCAATTCTTTCAGTGTGCTCCAATAATTCAGCCTGTTAGCCCTCATAATGCCAGTAATCAGTGGTAATTTAAACAGATTATGAATTTAATGGTTCCATGCTGGCTCGCTATTCTTTGCTTGTTTTATGGTTACTGGTAGCACACCTGCAAGCATCAGTCTTTTAGTGTATGGTTTCTAGTTTATAGAGATTCAGTATTCCTATGGAAAGGTGATAGGATTTATCTCTTTGAACCAGATTAAGCCAATTTGTTTTAGTGGCTTTTCTCAGAGTGGTTAACCATCTAATGACACTTCAGGTTATCTTCTTTTTCTTCGATCCTTCTTCAGAGAATTTATACCAGGAAGCCGGTAGCACTGATGAAAGCTATCATGGGTCCATCTGTCCTTGTGAATCATACAGTTTGTCTTGACTGAGGTTGGAAAAGGCCAAATTGCTTCTCTGTTAGCAGCATACAGTCAACAGTGTTGAAGTGCCTTTTCAGCATTTTATGATACCAAGTTGCAGGGACATATCTCTGTGTTTCCAAAATTGAAAAGTGTGAACATATGTTCACAATGTCTGTGTTGCCATGTCCTTAGTTTGAATATGACACATTGTCCCTCTCTAGAGAGGTGATGAGGCAGGTCTTGGAGAGAAAGTTTGGTATGATTATCGAGTCACCTTTCTAGGATACTAGTTGACACAAAGTACTAACTCTGTAGCTCCAGCTACGTCTTCAGGGATCTTCACATAAATTGAATTTCTAGATTGCAGGAAGGCTAACCCGAATAACAAATTCCTGCATAAGCTAGATGTGTCAGCCGAAAGGCAGCCATGTTGTAAACAGACACAACACTTTTATAAACATATCTATATATTTAGATAAACACAGAAGAAAAAGAAGAACTGGACCCAAAGACAGTTTTAAAGCAAACACGCAACCTTCGGAGCATGAGACAAATGGCTTGATGACTTTGCAATGGGACAAGAAACCAGATGTATAAGCCAGAAGAACAAAATGTCACTGCTGTGCTGTAACAATACAATGCACAAAACACAGATCCTTTGATTATAAGGTAAAAGTAATTTACCCATTTGCACATCTCGAGACATATTAGGCATATCATGATAGACTCCATATTTTTTGTAGAGACCAGCTGGCACTCTATAGATGTTTTAGTAAACATCATGCAGGCCACCTTTACTTTTCAGAACATTTCCTGAGACCCATTTACACTGGTTTGACCTTGAGTTGAAGCCAAGGTAACATTTAAAAATAATCTTATTGGTGGACCTTAACCTATAACCACTGGACTTTTGAGTAATCATGCTAACCTCTGTTCTACCTCAGTTCCCTATTTAAAATATAACCAGCATCCTATCACGCCATTATATGTCACATAGGGCTCATACTCTATTCTTCCATTCCACTCTATCGTGTGTAGTCCTTTCAATATGGTGGGTGGTATTTAAAATACACCTTCTCCTCAACTTATGACCATCTGTACTTGCTACCACCCAAAAATAAGATAAAAACAAAAGTAAGTAAAGAAAGATTGGTAGCAACAACAAGTTCCAGGAGCTAATGTCAGGCAGGGTCTGTTTTTATGTACATAGACTGAATTTTAGTGTTTTGTTTACAATCGTATAACCCTTTTGAATGAAAATAGTGTTGAAAAATATAAATTCTACTTACAACCTGCAGTCAGAATGGAACTCATTCATAAGTCGAGGAGATCCTATATATATTACATAGTTCTGTTAGCATATCTACAGACATCTTGTAACATTACTTTGACACATTATGTGTTTTGTTTTCAATAGGTTCAATGATTGGATACAGAATGAGTGATGACTACCAATCATTGATTGATGCCTTGCAAGATCTGTCTGAAGAAGATAAAGCTGAGTTAGTAAGACGTGTTCAGGAACTGGTCGGGGCAGCCTCAATAGAAGCACTGACAAGATTTATTGGCGTGCAAGCACAGCGATCTGCCTTACTTGATATTTTGAGATCTGCAGCATCAGAATTTGCTAAAGGAGGTTGAAGGCACCACTGCATGTAACAGACATTTAAAACCAAAGATTGCATATCCAAATCTTCTTTTTTTCCTTTAGTGATTTCACTTTTGAAAGGGTGGTTGGTGCACTGTGTTGCAATTTACAGGTAGCCTGCAATCGTGTCAGTGTTTGAAACAAAACAATCCATTGTATCAGTAGAAAGGACCCTTTTCCACGCCTTTTGGTGTATTGAACGTATAGGGCTATTGAACATATAGGGCTATTGAACATATAGAGCTATTGAACATATAGAGCTATTGAACATATAGAGCTATTGAACATATAGAGCTATTGAACATATAGAGCTATTGAACATATAGAGCTATTGAACATAAGGGGCTATTGAACATATAGGGCTTTTGAACATATAGAGCTATTGAACATATAGGGCTTTTGAACATATAGATCTATTGAACATATAGGGCTATTGAACATATAGTGCTAGGCCTATAATTTATAGACCACTGGGCACTTGATGGGTGACGTGGTGAACATCACGTCAGCAGCTTTTACTTCCCATAACTTTACCTGATAGCCATTTAAGGCTGGGCCAAATTGGGAGCCTAGATCATTTTGAAAAATGTTCGGCTCTGTTTAGATTTAAACTCACGACCTTCAGATCTGCAGGTGAGCATCTAGCCACTACACCATGGTGGCTTCCCCTTGCATCCATGGGTTATTGTAAGTATGACTGCCAGGCACTCAACACCAGAGCCATTCTTCTTCCCCAGTATTCTGACCCCGTAAGGTTCATTGATCCAGATATCGCCTGTCTCCATTAATCTCTATCATTTGTCCCTCTTTCCATTTGTTGACTCCAAGTGTTTGTAGGTCTGCTGGGATTTTATCTCTAATCATTCTTCTCTTAGTCAGTTAGTTAATCAATCGTTTATCCTCATTGCACATTGGACTAGTCAGTAAGCGCTCGGATCCCAATTTCAGGATGTCCCTCAGTATGTGGCAACTAATAACGCCAGTTCTGTGTTGGTTTAATATTCTTCTTTGGCTACCTGTATGGTGTTTATGTCTGGCAATGCCTATTTTGACCTGAAGTTCTTGTAGTCTGTTGAAATGTGTTGTTTAACCGTCATCTCCTGGATTATCTGTTCATCCTGCCTACTTGAGAGCGTTGAAAACAGTTCGGCCCATTGCTTGTTCTGTAGTTCAGAGACCCTAGCATTAAGCCAGACCTCTAGTTCATCACCTATTTCCCCAGAGTGCCCTGGCACAAAAACGAAATAGATTCCTTTCAGATGATATTTCCTCAGGGACTCCAACCATTGTCTCCAAACCCATCCTGTCTCGATCTTCTTAAGCATGCCGATAAAATTACTAAGAAATCATATATGTGACAAATTCCATATCTCTTGCCAAATGATTCTTTTTTTTTTTATTGCATGAGCTTTGTACATGCTGAACAACTGATCCATAGGTGTAAATAACCGCACCTCCATCAGCAGCATTCTCAAGAATTAAAGCTTCAGCTTCTGCCTCCATCACCAACTGGTTTTGTTGTCTGCAGTCTCAGGTTGCATGCCTGAGGTCTGTCCAGTCAGTCAGGCTCTGTGACCAGGTCTTTCTTGGTCTGCCTCTTCACCTTTTTCCCTCTACTGAGCCGAGCAGTAGTGTTTTTGAGAGGCTATTAGATCCTATTTACATGTCCATACCACATTAAATTTTTTTTTACTTTTCACTGTAGTTAAAAGAGGTCCATAGTTGCCAATGTGCTGTATAATTTTATGGTGAACTTCCTCATTTGTAATGTGGTCTCTGTATGATATGCCAAAAATTTGTCTGAAACATCACATTTCTAATGCTCGTATCTTTCTTTCAAGTTCAGCTGTTAAGGTCCACGTTTCACAGCCATATGTATATGTACTAATAGCTAGTGCTCTGGGCAATCGAATCTTAGTCTTGCATGAAAGGTTTTTAGATTTCCATAATGTTTGCTGCTTGGCAAGGACTGATGTTGTCTGGGCAATCCTAGACATAATTTCGGGTCTTGACCCCAAGTCACTTAAAATAGATCCTAAATATTTAAAATGAGTCACTTTTTCTAATTTGTGGACCTAGATTGGTGAAATTCTGCCAGCTGGATTATTAGTCATTACTTTTTTTTTTTTCATTTATTTCTATGCCATGCTTCGTTGATGTTTCATTGAGTAGATTTGGAGAAGTTTACTCATTAAAAAAAAAATAGGAAAGGTGAAATGAGTTTTATACTGTGTATTTAACTGAATAGATGGAATAGAGAAACAACCTTGTTTGTGTGCGCGTGCACACACACAGGCGTGCATACACACACACACAGAGAAAGAGAGATGTAGAAAAACAGAGAAATATATATTTTTTCTTAGTATTTACATGCTGTAAACTTCAGCAGAAAGTTAGGTTGTTCATCCCCTTCTGAACTGTTCATATTCCAGAACTTGAGTTCTACTTACACATCCGCTTTACAGATCTAGCTTATTTGTATGCAGGCTGATGGTCCCTCATATCTCAGGCAGATGTGCTCAGACAAAGAAAATATCCCAATTAGTCATCTTTTATGGCTTGCTTACAATGGAGCACGGGGTCTAATCTATTGTGCCCTGGAACCCACGCGTGACAAGAAAGATGTAAATGAACAGACAAATAGCTGGGAAACAAATAAAATAAATGAAGCGCCAACTTCACTAAAATATCAGTTGACAACAAGTCATGATAATCTGTGGGTTCCAGATCAGGCATGTGAACAATAATAATAACATTATCAAATAAAAACTTAGCCTTTGCATATTTCTTCTATACTTGGATTGGATTAGTGGTGTGTGCTGTCTGCACATTGAAGGTTAGCTACAGTGTACTCAGGGCTTTCTTTAGGAATATTATGTAAGTAAAGTAAAAGTAAAGGACCTTTTTCCACACCTTCAGGCACATAGGGCTAGACCTATATTTTATAGATCAATTGGCACTCGGTGGGTGATGTGGTCAACATCACACCGGGACTATTATGTGGTGAGGGTTAAATCTCTCACTCATTGTGACTCGTTCCGCTGTCGGAAACCATCACAGTGGTGATTTTAAATGAACCGTCTGCAACCAAAATCAAACCCTAGTAATTAAGGATCATAAAACTGTTAAATGGATCACTAATCTCTAAGCTGCAGAGCCTCACTTGGATTGGATTGTGGGTTGTGAACTTATTAATTTTATATTTTTTTTCTGTTTGCTGCTTGTTTTGTGATTTTTTTAAATTGTATATAGACTTTGATAAAATTATGATATGTTGATTATAAATATATATTAAATTCTTTATGATTATCATTTATGATATAAATTTGAAAGCTAATAAAAATATTTCAATGCTTTATGGTTTTCTTTGAGGGAACTGCGAACTATTTGCATATCATGTTCATGTTGTATGCAACCTTCCTCCAGAACGTACTTTTAAATTATAATTTTGCCCGGCTCCCTAGCGTAGTTGGTAAAACTGGACTCCGCGGTGAGCGAGTGACGAATTCCTTGTGGTCCAGGTTTACACCGAGGTTAGACAGAAAAGCCACATTTCTCCAAGATTTACGGTATCTATAATGGAATCAAGGCCGAAGGGTTGTGATATCCATAGAACCGAGCCAAAAGGTTAATAACTCATGGTTTCTGGATACTTGAAAAAAAAAAAAATTTATGGGGAGAACATATAAAAAAATTCTTCAGAATGTCTTTTTCTACAGCAGACTTTCCAAACTGGCATGTCCAGATAATAGAAGTGGTGGAAAATGTACTTTTCCATGTCCTATGAATGAAATTGTAAAGGTTAAGAAGTTTGTATTTGAGTGTGTGAGACTATAATTTTTAAATGTTCGTGATGGGATAATATCTTCTTATTTTGTCCTTATCATACATTTTAATTTTTTTTTTCTCCAGCTCATTAGTATTTCTGATATTAATGTCATTATGAAGATTAACTTTAACAGAAAATTAAAACTCAGAGATAATTTGGTTTTAATTATGTGCTGTCTGCGCAATAACGGTTGGCTTCAGTGCACTGACCACTGTCTTTGCAACTATCAAAAGGTGAGACCCCAATCTCTTCCAAAGTGTTGCTCTTATACCACTGTCTGAAAGCCATGAGAATGATCTTTCGTCATTTAAATAAATGGAAATTGAACCCATTGTAAATCAAGCATTGTGAAACATAATCACTAAATTTCAAGCCACGGAAGGAAAAAATATCCTTAATTATATATATATATATATATATATATATATATATATATATATATATATATATATATATATATATATATATATATATATATATATATATATATATATATATATATATATATATATACACACACATAAAACTGTTTACAGTTGGAAATAAAGTGTGAGTTATATAGCAAGGAGTCTTGGAAGTGTGATATTTTATGGAGCTGCAGTAACTCTTTGGCTAACAGGCTAACCTACCCGCCTATTGATCTTTTTAAAAAAACTAATTTAAGTGGGAATTATTTTTTTAAAATGAACATTACCCTGGTTAATCCAACACACAACTGGTACTATCAAAATGTCCTCAAATGTAAAATAGTCTGGTTTTCAATATCTTTCAGGTGGCACCACCATTAACTATATATTAAGACATCTACTCCCCCCTCCCTTTCCCTGAACTGAAAAAAAGAATAAAAAGAGGACAAAATGAAGTGAAATAGAATAATGGTGATAGTCTGTGTCAGAATGTGTACTTAATCTATAATAAATGCACATGTCATATTAATTAGATGTTTAACATGAGATTTACAAACTGCTCATGAAAATAAAAACGTCCTTGACTTGTTGTTTTATAAATAGATTTTGAATTTTTTTTTCTTATATATAATTAAAAATGAGAACAAAATAGTATAACAGATTATTAAACGTACTCAACTTCAAAAATTATATAAAATGTACTCTATAGCTTTACCTTTGTTGTGGATAATGCTGGCACGTGTAGATAGTAGATGAG